CCCACTAAACTCGCTACCATGCTGTACAAAATTGTCGGTAAACGCCTTAGCGATACCCCCTTTGAAATCTTTGAAAATTACCCAATAACAGCAAATGTGTAGTGCCTAACGAAAAATGAATATCCTTGATAATCAAAAGTTTATCTAAATTGACCGATGAAGTCGGGAGATAATGGTCAGCTTGTTGAACGGATGCAGTCTTTGTTAGTAGCAAATGGTGCGAAATTGCAAGTTGATGGGGTGTTTGGTCCTGAGACTGAGCGAGCCCTAAAGGGGTTCCAGCTTATGCAGAGCATGGATGCAACGGGACAGCTCAGCCTGCCAAACTTAGCTAAACTTCAAGAAGTTGAGTTAAAAAATGAACAAGCCCATACTCCACAAAGCCATGTTGTGCAGCAGGGGCTTCAAGCTTGGCAAGATTTTAAAGTAGAGATCATTCAAATAGTTGAAAAATTGTTAGACGATAAACCCGTTTCTTTGCCCTCGTCCGTTAAAGCTAGTGATCCTGCTTATCATGCCTGCGATTTGGTCATGAGTCGGAACGAACAGTATGCTAAAGCTCCGCAGGAGATCAAAGAACAAGCCATGCAGATGTTTGTAGATGTTCAAAATCAACGAGTTGAAAAGTCAGCAGAACCCGTTTCTGCTTCAAGCGAGTTGACACGGTAGAAGCGGCTGCGAAACTTTCTGCAAAACATTAGCCCTGCCTCTGTGTTTTGCACTAGCAATGACTAGGTCTCTGTTTTATTACACGATTGGTCGGGAATTGGAATAATGAGAAATATCGAATAAAAGTGCTGCGCATGTATATAAATAGGAGGGCGTGTTATGAACTATTGTCAATCGATTTTAAAAGGCTTAATGGTATAGGCGGGTTGGATAGGTTTTTCAGTAGTCGGATTGGCTAAATAAGATGATTTTACAAAACAATCGAAACAATTTGGCGTTAAGGCTAGCGTACCAACCTGCCAAGGGATAACCGACGCACAAGAAGTTTGTCATGGACAAGGTCAAGTGAGGTTAAATGCAGCCAAGTGGCAACAAACCATTTCCTTGAAAGACATTCAGATAAATGCCGAAAGCTTCTACCGTTCAGAGGTAAAACCACAAACACTAGTTGTGAATGATTTTAATTTTGATGGGTTTGACGATATTGCCATTTGGACGGGGAATCAGGCGGTCTATGAGGGAGCCATCGTATCATGTGTATCTTTTTTTGCCCACCGCCAAAAAAAATCCTGACTTCGTACATTTCCAAAAAAAACCCCTCGTTAACCCATTGATTTCGATTTTGGTGGTTAAAACTCGAAATGTAGTGCCCGAAAAATTTCCACTCCTCTTTCACATATTTTTTCCGCAACGACGGTATGTTATCCCAGCTAAACCTACTAAACTCGCTACTATGCTGTACAAAATTGTCAGTAAACGCCTTAGCGATACGCCATTCGAGATCCTTGAAAATTATCCGATGACGGCAAATATGTACAACGACGGTATGTTATCCCAGCTAAACCTACTAAACTCGCTACTATGCTGTACAAAATTGTCAGTAAACGCCTTAGCGATACGCCATTCGAGATCCTTGAAAATTATCCGATGACGGCAAATATGTAGTGCCTAACGAAAAATCAACATCCTTATTAATCAATAAGTTATTTGTATTAACCGATGAAGTCGGGATGCCTGTAAATACCGGTTATCTTGATTTTTCAGATAATTTTCGTAATGCTGGGAATGGGGTTATTACGCTTTATTCTGACCTTGCAAAGCAGCAATGCGTTGTTCAATCGGTGGATGGCTCATAAAAAGTGCCATACCCGTTAAACCGCCGCCAATTCCAGAGGCTGCCAAGGATTTTGGTAAGCCACCATCTTGAATACCCCCAAGGCGCTTTAAGGCACGAATCATGCTATCAGGTGAACCTAAATATTGCGCTGAACCCGCATCAGCTCGGTATTCACGTTGGCGTGAGAACCAGGCAACTACGATCGAAGCGAGTACACCAAAGAGGATTTGCCCAAGCATGTCGCCAATATAGTAACCTATACCTACACGCTCACCCTGCTCGTCATTGCTGTTGCCACGTAAGAATCCGTCCAGTAAGACCCCCGCGATTTTTGCAAAAAACACCACAAAAGTATTAACAACCCCTTGAATTAATGCTAAAGTCACCATGTCACCATTAGCGACGTGTGCGACTTCATGCGCTAAAACGGCTTCAACTTCTTCGCTGTTCATGCTTTCCATGAGACCGGTAGAAACAGCCACTAAAGCCGAATTTTTAAAGGCGCCAGTCGCAAAGGCGTTTGCTGGTCCTTGGTATATGCCCACTTCAGGCATTGTGATACCCGCTTTATCAGACAATTGTTTTACGGTGCTGACCAGCCATTGTTCCGTTTGGCTTTGTGGTGTTTCGATCACCTTTACGCCCATGGACATTTTCGCCATTTTTTTTGACATCAGTAGCGAAATGATCGACCCTGTAAAACCTACTACTGCTGAAAATGCTAACAGACTAGGAAGGTTTAAATTATTGGCCTGCAACACGGGATTGAGCCCCAACAGATTGACTACTAGGGTAATGACCAACATGACTGCCATATTGGTTAATAAAAACAAAAATATTCGTTTCATAATAATATTTTCCTATGTTGAGTGATGCTAAAACAAAAAAACCAAGAGTGACAAGGTTAAGCAGCAAATTTTATGCAACAAGAGCACCGGTAAAGCTGCTTTGCAACTGGTATTGGGTTAAATGACGGATTATCCTTTAGTCGCTAAGCCAACAGAACAGAGCCCGCGTGCCTCTCGAATATGAAGTCACTTTACAAAATTTCAAGACCCTGATGTAGATCAGAATTCCACGAGAGATGGCGACGAAGACAATACTGGAGTATGGGTATGGGACCATAACAAAGTGGTGTTTTGAAAAAGGATCTTTTTAAATCATAATACTATCTTAAAAAGTTATTAAGCGCAGGATTTGGGATGTGAAAAATGACTTTTTTGTCATCAAACCATCGCCCGTTATATCATCTTCTCCAAGCATAATTCGTTTGTCAGGTCGCAGGCTGTGGTTTGACGAAGGCGATGAAATGTTATTTTTTTATAAACAAGGAGTTGAATATGAAATTAGGTCAATTATTACTTTTCACAGCAACATTAGTAGGTTCTTCAATGACTTTTGCTAACCCACTAGGTGGGCCAGGTGGTGATCCCGCAATGGCAGCTAGTGCATGTGCAGGAAAGTCGGCAGGCGATACGGTTTCGCTTAAGGGCCCAGATGGAACGACTACGCTCAACGCAACCTGCCGTTTAGTCGCGCTACCAAACCCGCCAGCGGAAGCTGTTGCTGCCTGTAACGGCAAGGCAGAAGGAGATGCGGTGACCTTTTCTGCTACAATAAATAACAATACCCGTACAGTGACAGGAACCTGCAAAATGATTTTTGATCAATTGGTTGCATTGCCAGAAAAGCCGCAAGCCAGTGGAAGAGGTGCCGGAAAAATGGGGGGGCGCATGGGTGGAGGAGATATGGGGGGTAGACGTATGCGAGGGTTTGGCGCAGCAGGAGTCAATACTGGCACTACTACACAATAACAGTTTTAAGCACAATGTATTCAATGCACGGAATAATTGGATAATTGTGCAACACACTCAACATCAATTGCCAATTATCCCAATTCCAGATTTTCCATTGGAAGAAAAGTTCATTGATTAGCAAAGAAAATTTCTAAAGGAGATTATTGGAGCAACATATTGATTTTGTTCGATTTTTGGTGTCTTATGGCAAATCTGGGATTATCTACCGCAGTGCTGTGCGCAATGGGGACGAAGATATGGCTATAGTAAAACAAGGAGCCATGGCAAAGTAGCACTTTGATAGAGCATTGGTATAAAAGCCACAGGATCAAGAATGCAGCTGCCGACTCCTGTAGTAAAGGGTCGAGCGCCCACTCATACCCATTCTCCATCAAAGTGGTAATTTGACATGGCTCCTAGTCAAGCTACAGTAAAGTCTTCGTAGCCATTTAGCGTAGCATTTTGATGGAGAATTGGTATCAAGAGGAGTCCTTGCAAAATTCAATTAACCCAAATTTTCCATTAGAAAAGGGTTCTAATGGAAAATTTGGGTTAATGGGGATCATATTCTGATCGTTTTTGCTATAGATTAGATGATAAACTTAAAATAGACCATATGTTTGGCAGTCGCACCCCCACCTTGCGAAACTTCCTGTGCAGAGTCGAATAAATTGGTACTCCCCTAGTGATTGTAGAGGATGCGCGATCCTGATGAGCAATGGTTCTAAGACGTGTAAGGAAGGCGCATTGGGCGACAAGCGTTGCGAATACGAGACGTATTGAATAAACAGATCTGAGGGATTTTTGTTTTAATTATTTGAAAAACGTTGTATTTTCTAAATGCATTCCTCAGATGGTCAATTTAACATAGTAATATGGCTTGAGCGAAATCAAAGACCTTGTTACAATGTCGGGTTATGACAATTGGAGTAAGTCCAAAATTGGGCTCCGTTATGACCAGCGGAGGTCCAACTGATTTAATTTATTGAAATTTTGCGCCCATTTCAAAAGTAGGCGCATCTGAAATGGAAAAACGATCATGAAACGTTGGAATGCTTGGGTAGCCAAACTAAATAACTTCGCACTTTTTGGGCTTTTAGCCGCTTCGGGTGGGGTTTTTGCGGGAACCGTTCAAAGTATCGAAGGCGGACCTATTGTTGGTGGGATGAATATTCAGCCTGCAGCTTCAAAGATAGCAGAAGAAATTCACGGGTTAAATGTGATGATCTTGGCAATTTGTGCGGCGATTGGGGTGATCGTTTTTGGTGTCATGATTTATTCCATGGTCAAGTTTCGGAAATCAAAAGGTGCTGTTCCTGTCGAGTTAGAAGAAGATACAAAAGTTCGGTTCTTAGGTAAGGACTGGACGGTAGGACCTACAACTTTAGAAATTGGCTGGACAATTATTCCATTCTTAATCGTGATTGGTATGGCGCTACCTGCGACTAAAACGATGGTAGCGATGAAAGATACTAGTAATGCGGATTTAACCATTAAAGTCACTGGGTATCAATGGAAATGGGGCTACGAGTATATGGATGGTTCTGCGCGCGGGGTTTCTTTTATTGCTAATTTAGCTACGCCACGTGAGCAAATTAATAACTTGCAGACAAAAAGCAACGATTATTTGCTAAAGGCAGATCAGGCTTTGGTGGTTCCTGTTGGAAAAAAGGTGCGGATAGTAACCACGGCTGCAGACGTGATCCATGCATGGATGGTTCCGCGCTTGGGGGTAAAAATCGATGCGATCCCTGGGATAGTCAGGGATGCGTGGTTTAAAGCTGACAAAGAGGGGATGTACTATGGTCAGTGTGTTGAGTTGTGTGGTAAAGAGCACGCCTTTATGCCGATTAACGTCGAGGTTGTTTCTCAGGAGGCGTTTAAAAAGTGGTCTGAGGACAAGCGCAAAAAAATGGCAGCCAATGCAGATGATCCCACAAAGGTTTACACCATGGATGAATTAACCTCGCGAGGTCAAAAAGCTTATGAGGAAAATTGCGCCTCTTGCCATCTAGCAAGTGGTATGGGTGGCGCGACGATTAAAAAATTAAATGGTTCCCCGTATGTTTTGGGGCCTAAAGCGGAGCAAATGAAAATTATGCTCAATGGCAAAAATGGTATGCCTCCTTGGGCAAGTTTATCTGACGTACAGCTGGCATCAATTATGACGTTTACGCGGAACCATTGGGACAATAAAACGGGTGACATGATTCAGCCAAGTGAGTTTACGGCAGCAAGAGGTGGTGTTTTTCCAGAGGGTGGTGGTATAACAGTCGCACAGACAGGCACTGTTACTCCAGAAGTGGCTGTTACGGGGTCTGCAGGCGATGCGCCCGAAGTTTCTGGCAATACTCTAAAAGTATTTTTTGCCGTAGGCAGTGCAGTTTTAGCTGATGCAGACAAAGCAGCACTTGATAAAGTTGCCAGCGATGTAGCGACGAATCCGTCGTCTCGTGTAGAGGTGTCAGGATATGTCGATAGCTCGGGTTCTGCAGACAAAAATGAAGAGCTCGCAAAAAATCGTGCATTAGCGGTTCGCGATTACTTAAAGTCTAAGGCGGTTGATGAGGCACGCATCGATTTGAAAAAGCCGAACGTTATTACAGGGGGCGCAGACAAAAAAGAAGCGCGCCGAGTTGAAATTACCGTTGTAACTGCATCATAAATAAATTAGTTTTAAGGGATAGGGTGAATATTATGGCCACAGTAGCACATACGCACGATGATCATCACCATGATGATCACCACAACGTGCCTCCAAAGAACTTTATGCAACGTTGGGTTTATACAACAAATCATAAGGACATTGGCACATTGTATTTGCTGTTTTCTATTGTTAATCTGATGGTGGGGGGCTTATTAGCTCTTTTCATCCGTTTAGAGCTCTTTCAGCCTGGGTTACAATATTTTTCACCTGAATTGTTTAACCAGTTTACGACCACACACGGCGTGATTATGGTGTTTGGTGCTGTGATGCCAGCATTTGTTGGGTTTGCCAACTTTTTGTTGCCATTGCAAATTGGCGCGTCAGACATGGCATTCCCACGGATGAATAACTTTAGTTTTTGGTTAATGCCGATGGCGACCATTTTATTGGTGGCCTCATTTTTTGTGCCAGGTGGTGCTACGGCGGCTGGTTGGACAGTGTATGCGCCTTTGTCTCTGCAAATGGGGCCAGGGATGGATTTGGCGATTTTTGCGTTACATATGATGGGTGCGGCATCTATTATGGGGGCGATTAATATTATTGTGACCATTCTGAATATGCGTGCACCGGGAATGACACTCATGAAAATGCCTATGTTTGCGTGGACATGGTTGATCACTGCATATTTGTTGATTGCTGTTATGCCAGTTCTAGCCGGTGCAATTACGATGTTGTTGACAGACCGCCATTTTGGTACGAGCTTTTTTAATGCTGCGCAAGGTGGTGACCCGTTGTTGTATCAGCATATTTTTTGGTTTTTTGGTCACCCTGAAGTGTACATCATGATTTTGCCAGCATTTGGCGTTGTTTCACAGGTGGTTGAAGCGTTCTCGCGTAAACGTTTGTTCGGTTATAGTTCAATGGTGTATGCAACAGCTTCGATTGCGATTTTGTCGATGATTGTTTGGGCGCATCATATGTACACCACGGGTATGCCTATTACTGCACAGTTGTTTTTTATGTTTGCGACCATGCTCATTTCTGTGCCAACGGGGGTGAAAATTTTTAACTGGTTGGCGACGATGTGGAAGGGCTCTATCACTTTTGAGGTGCCGATGCTGTGGGCTGTTGGCTTTATTATTGTGTTTACTCTTGGTGGCTTTACAGGTTTAATGTGCTCAATGGCACCGTTAGATATCCAACTTCAAGACACCTATTTTGTTGTGGCGCATTTCCACTATGTGTTAGTAGCGGGAGCCTTATTTTCTTTATATGCGGGTTGGTATTATTGGGCACCTCGCATGATTGGAGTGTATTACAATGAAACTCGTGGCAAAATTCACTTTTGGTTGTCGATGATTTCATTTAATGTGACTTTCTTTCCATTGCACTTTGTCGGTTTGAATGGCATGCCGCGCCGCTATGCGGACTACGCAGTGCAATTTACTGACTTTAATCAAATTTCTTCGATTGGTGCTTTGGTTTTTGGTTTGGCGCAGGTGTACTTTTTGTTTTTTGTTGTGATTCCTGCGTATCGTGGCAAAGGAAAACCGGCCCCCTCAAAACCTTGGGAAGGCTCACGCGGTTTAGAGTGGACTTTGCCCTCGCCAATCCCTTATCATACATTTGAAACACCTCCACAGTATAAAGACGAGTAAGATGGCTTTTTATGGATAAAAAATTACAAAACAAGAAAAATCGGCAAACATTGCTGGTTTTATTGGGCGTGATCGCTTTTTTTGTGGTTACCTTTATCTATAGGGTTTATCGATATGGGTTTTAATAGGTGGTGCCATGCCTAGTGATGTTGACAATAAGGTAGTTAAAAAACTCAATTTGGGTTTGTTGGCAAAATTATTGGTGATTACTGTGATGATGTTTGGCGTTGGTTTTGCAATGGCACCGCTGTACAGGCTATTTTGTGAGGTTACAGGGGTGAATGTTTTGGCTAATAACAGCGTTTTTGCCAAAACAGTTAAAAATACACAGGTGGATCAGACAAGAGTCATCGAGGTGATTTTTGATAGTAACGGCGAAGCTCAGGAAAATAGTCCGTTTCGGTTTCGCCCAGTGGAAACCTCAGTGAAGATTCATCCTGGCGAGGTAAA